ACAACAGCGATCTCTACACGCTAATTGCTACCAACAGCACTGATGCCCCGCTGCTGACGTCGCTGCAAGCCTCGGCAGCGCTCCAGAGCGCCACCAGCGTCGGTGCCGTCCAAACCACCGAGTTTGCCAACGGCGTCGTCGTCGTGCACGAGCAAGATGCCGGCGCCTCCAGCGGCCGTACCATGAGCACCACTGCGATTGCGCTCATTGTCGCAGCGGCAGTCGCCGTTATGGCGCTTGTCGCGTTTGCTGCGCATCGACTGGGGCGCGCCCGCAAGGGTGAGCACGCGACCGGATCCCGGCGGCCGTCGCGACAGCCCTTCAGGCTCAGCCCGACCAAAGCCAGAGCCGCGCACACCGAGTTCAAGACGCCCATGTACCAGCAGCGCCCGCTCGTGTAAGTCTTGTGCCGCATACGATGCAGACTTTCCGTTTTACTGACATTTCATGCTCCATACATTCCATTATGTAGTACTCTGTAGCGTTGCGTGGTCGAGTTGTGTCCGAGGGCTTGGGCTAACAAAGCACTACTTCAGCTCGTCATGGTAGAACCAGTTAGGGGCCTCGGGTGGTTCTCGATTCCAAGAATACAGAAATAAACGTAGTACGACACAATGTAGTAGGAGACTATTTGAGGAGTTGATAATGCCAGCAGAAATTACGACACTGGACGTGTAGGACGCATGAAACCTCGATATTTGGACCAAACAAAAACATTATTTGATTGTGCGAAGTGGAGCCTTGGGCTTCACAGCAGACCACATTGACCAACGTAGGCACGGTCCCCATGCCGTTCTCGTGCTGCAATAGTCTGCCTCGTCTCCGAGGACATGCATGCGAGCTGCAAGTGTTTTGATGGCGGGAAAGAAATCATACTACAAGACAACGAATGAGCTTTGTATTATCGGGTGCTACTGGGTGCGTTCATTTGCGGCTGCGCTGCTGCCGCTGCACGGCGTCCTGGACAGTAAGGAGGAACGCGTCAAACTCCGACTTGAGCACGGTCGCGGCCTCATAGTTGGTCTGCACCGTCTTGAGAGACGGCGGAAGGTTCACCTTGCCGCGCCCGCCCGTCTTGTTGGGCGAGTGCGCGAAAACGAGGCATTGGCTTGGATCCAGGCCCGCGTTCTGCACAAACCACTCGTACCTACAGTGACCAGTGTCTTCGCGTGTGGGTTCCACGTGGCCGAGGATACCACAAGGTCACTTCGCTCTCGTGCACGTGGCTCTCGGGGTTGTACACAAGCAGCGTTGCGTGCGCGTCCTTCAGTATGGCGGGCCAGCACGCTTCGTAGCTACGGAATCGCGTCACATTCTTGTGCCAGATTCTCGATGTTGCTACATTTGATCGCCCGAGCAGTCCCAAAACTCCACGCTCACTTGGCCGCGCCCGAGGTTCTTCTCGCATTCAAGAATGCTACATCCTCGGATATTAGCGACTCCGTGATGCATAGAAGACACACCGGACTCCAATCGTGGGCTGGTACCGCTCCTGGTTACCCAGTCGATCCGTGCCCTCGGCCAGGAAGTTGGCGATCTAAACACATCCCAAGAGTGCGTACTCCGTCTGTCGGGTGGAAGTACCGCGGTCTTGCCGCCCTCCTTCGGGCCGACGACGAGCACCTTGAGCGACGGCATCGAACGGTCACTGTAGAAAGATCCACTGCCGCAACGGCTGGATTCGAAGATACCGCAAATTACCGTATGCAGTACAGCTTCTCTCCGACGGCGCCACGTCATGCTCCAAAAATGACGTGGCATCCCGAGGATCCACCGTATCTTTCCGCCAACAGACATGGTAGAAATGGTAAATAAGATTGGCGTTAGTGCGTGACTGAGCTCTCGCTGGATGTGTCCGAGTGGTCGTCGTCCAAAATGGTGAAGACATTGGCGTCTTCGAGAGCCTGGACGACCTCGCGCGCTGTAGGGCGCGTGTCCGGGTCGACCGCCACGCAGCGCAAGGCCAAGTCCCGCAGCCACTCGGGGCACGAGGCAGAGAACGACGGTTGCATCTCGCCTCGCATCACCTGCACATATGGTTATATTCTAACGTAATGGTGGCTCAAACGTACGTGGTAGAGAAGAGTGAAGCTGCCCATGGCTTGGCCTCGGCCATTGCGAACATCTGCATACGGAACGTTGTGCGAGTCGAGCTCCGTGAGCACCTGCATCATAATCTCTTTCTCGTGCTTCTGCCTCGTGTGATGCGACGTACCATGCCAAGCGAGTACATGTCGGCTTTCGTGTCGTAGCGAGCGCCTTGGAGCACCTCGGGCGCCGTCCAGCGGAACGTTCCGACTGCGCTTGTCATGACGTCGTCGTCCACGCGACGCGCGACACCAAAGTCGGCGACCTTGGCCTGCAGGTTTTCGCCGAGGAGCACATTTCTCGACTTCAAATCCCGGTGCACGACACAATGCTCATGGAGGTACACGAGCGCTTGCGCCACCGCGTGGGCCATGCGCCATTTCGAGTGCATCGACAGCAGACGGTGCGTTTCCAAGTACGAGCGCAGATCACCGTGGACCATGTGTTCGACGACGCACTGCAGATGCAGGAACGTCGACCACTGGACGCCGACAAAGCTGACGAGGTGCGGGCACGAAAACCTACAAAAATCAACGTTTTCGAGTCGGAATGGACGAGCATAAATTGTACCGAGCCATGAGGCGGATCTCGTCGACAAAGGCGCAGACCATCTCGGGCGAGACAAGGTCGCGACGAATCTGCTTCACGGCCACGTACTGCGACTGGTACACTCCAAGAACGACGTCGGAGGTCGCGCCTCGCCCCAGAATCGATCGGGGATACAACGTCAGCGGCGTACGCAGGCGGTAGGGCTCCAACGGCAGAAGCCGGCGGATCTCATCGTCCGAAAGCGGCGCCGGGCAAAGCTCGAGCTCGACACCGTCGTGGGCTCGGGTGTTTGTCAGCGCAAAGCAAAACGACCGAGTGACCCGAAGCACGAGGACGATGGCACCAACCACGGCAAGGACGCCTTCGGTGATGTAGATACCGATCCAGAGCTGCGTCGTCGTTACGTCTATCCAGCAACGTTATCGCATCGCAGGCGAGAATCCGAGCATGACAACCTGTCATGTTGCACACGGCAATGACCCCTGTGCCATTGTCGATCGTGACCGTCAGCGACACGGTACACGCAAACGGACACGGCGGCTTCATGTCGAGGTAGCTCTTGGGGACAACAATAACCTGGACGGCCGACTTGTCGAGCGACGATCCCAGCGCCTTGACGCAAGTTTTGTCCAGAGAAAGCGCCGCGTACGACGAGTTGGTCAAGTTTCTGTCGACGCATAATGTCGATGCCACGCGATGATATATGGAAGAAGAAAACACTTACAGAGAGGAAAACGGGCGCGGTAGCTGCGCGCATTGAATGGATTCGAGGTACGGGTTGCTTGAAAAGTCCCTAGTCCGTTGGATGAGTGCTCGCTCGTGCGATAGTCCAACTTATATATAGTCGTACAGGTCGTCGGCCCACATGTGGTCCGAGAGATGGATCGAGCGCAGGCGATTCTGACGCATGTTGCTAGCAGTACGAGTCTACGCCGCGTTCACTATGGCCTGTACGTACAGTGTTTTGACGACAGGAAGGCCCTCGAAGAGCTCGATGAGGTTGTTCGACACGTCCCTAGCGCACCGTTGCGATGAGCACCTCACACGTGAACGACATTTCAGGCTACAGTGTCTGCAGCATCGATGGCCACGTGTGCTTGGCCGTGAACGACCGCATGCGGTTGCGACTGAGGGTCCTACACCAACGCAATGAGCTCGTTGGATCTCAAAGCACGCGGCGCACAGATGTTGTAGAGCGCGGGGCCATTCGTACGAATGCGGGATGCGCGACCAGCCGCAGTTGCTGCAATAACTACATGGACAAAATAAGACACCAGAAGATATATACGTCGCGTACAAACTCTCGAGCGAGGCTGGCAGCGCCGTGTCAAGGGCGAACGCTGCGTCGTCCATCGACCTACAAGCTCCGTCAACCGGCGCCCACTCGAACAGACATGGATTACAGAGAGCGCAGCGCCTCGGGCCACGCAAACGACCGGAGCGGGTTGTCCACCAAGTCGGCAAACGACCTGTTGCGACTGAGAACCCAAGTGGTGAGAGGGACGTAGTACACGTGGGTCATGGCCGCGGGCAGCAGCACGGTGCCGTTCACATGCGGGTTCGCACGCACCCACCTACACCACGCGTCAAGAGTCAGACGCGATCCAATGCCGAGCAGTATTTACTACATGGACGGTGTTGGGCTCGACGTCATCGCCGTCGCGTCGGTGGGCAAGCCGATCTGGCGCAGACCGTTGCCCTGAAAGGTCCTAAGGTCGCACACCTCAAAACCGGCGGCTACCATAACGCTATGCCCTACACGCTGGCGACGCGCGGCAGCGAGTGCAGAAGCTCGATCGGATCGTTTACGACTGTCGGCGGCGACGAGTACGTCTGCAGGAGCCGGCATGCATCGTCGACGATGCAGCACTCGGTCGGGCAAAACCGACGGTCGCACGTGAACGTCGATGCAAAGCCCGCGAAGATGCACGGCAGGCTGCTGAGGAGAGACGGCATCACGAGGTCAATTGACGAGTTGCCACGACCGTCTTCAAGCGCATCTGAGTTGTTGAAGGGATCCATTATGCGATAGATGCTGACCCGTGGACGCAGCGAGCGGCTCGTGGTCTCCAAGGGCACTCATATTAGTGGCGTCTCGCCACTGATACGCTATCTTGCTAGCTGAGTTACGTAAGCAGACGCGCCGCCCACCCCGTGTCGCCTTCAGGCGCCGCCGCCGGCTCGGCGACCATATTGCCGTTTGGATTTGCGACATGCGCCGTAGCCAGGCCGCGACGGTTGTATCTGATAAATGTACCGTGTTTTTGGGGATCGTGACGGTATTTTTGACCCGGATCCCACGCGCAGAAGGTCGATTGCGAGTTTGCGCCACGAGCTGCACAGCGCCTATTCGTACAGACAACGCGAAACGAACGGTAGCGTCGAGCTTGTGCGCTCACAAGACGCCAGCAGCCGCAGCGATTCTTGCGCGTCCTCATCGCTTCACGTACAAAAGCCCCCTTGGATCTGACGACACCGTCCAGGACAAGCCAGCACACAACTGCGCCGTGCCAAAAGATGACTACAACAAATCCACGAGGTGTTCATATTAGTACACCTAGTGTCCAAGTGACCTCCTGCGTTCGAACCAGGTTGTACCCGTACGTCCCCGCGCAACGCCGTTCTCCCACAGCGCGTCGCGCGTTTCAAAGCTACCGGGCAACCATCAGTGACGTACTACTCGCCACCCATGCTAATAGCTTTCCAAGCAGACACGGCTGCCAAGGGTCGTCAACCTATTTTTCCAGCTGCCGAGTCGCTACAAAATGCACACGCTGCTCCAGAGCCAGGTCTGCAGTAGACTAAACTTCTGTATTAGTACTAGGAAAGCAATGACGCTGATCGCCGTCGATTGCTACCGGCGATGTACCCCGTGGAGGTGCTCGGACGGGACCTTGATCGGGGCGAGGCGCGCCAGCACCAAGAGAATGTCGGCAGCCGTTGGTCGAGCGGTCGGGTCGTGTGCGCTGCATGCAGTCGCCAGCTCACGCAACCACGGGGGGCACGCGGGTGTGAACGTCGGTGCAATCGTCCCTTCCATGACCTACAACGCGGGTCACGACCCCTTTAGATCGCTAGAAATATCGTAAGACCTTGAAGAGCAGCGAGATGTTGCCCAATGGCTGGCCGCGCTCGTTGCGGGCATGCTCGTACGGCAGCGCATACGAGTCGAGCTCGGTGAGAATCTACTAGTACTCGATTTACAAGGAAATATGAGAAGAAAAGATACGAAAAGAAACAAGGCCGCACCATGCCAAACGAGTAGATATCGGCCTTTGTGTCGTAGCTCGTGCCCCGGAGCACCTCGGGCGCCGTCCAGCGCTACGTGCCGACAGCGTTGGTGAGCGTGTCATCGCTTTCGTCGGCAAACACGGCGACGCCCATGTCACCGACCTTGGCGCAGCCGTTGTCGCCGAGGAGCACATTTCTCGACTTCAAATCCCGGTGTACGACACCAGTCTTGTGCAAATAATGCAGCGCGTGGGCAAGGTCGTGCGCAACACCGAGCTTCCACGTCGGCGTCTGTGGTGCCCTCAAGCACGCGCGCAAGTCACCGCGCGCCATGTACTCGACGAGGCACGCGAGCGACGCGAGCCCGACCTTGGGCGACCAGTAGACGCCGACAAAGTCGACGATGTACGGGCTGTGCAAGCTACCCAGCACAAGCGATGAGAGCACGCTTGGAGCGCAAACGGACATGGCGTTGAGCGCAACTTCCTGCGCAAAGGCGTCGAGGCTCTCGGGTGATGCGATATCGGCGCGCACACGCTTGACAGCGATGTGTCGGCGCTTGTACTGGCCGTAGACGACGAGGCCGTGGGCACCACGCCCTAGCGGGCGCAGTTCGTCGATGCGCAGGTGTGCAGCGTCGACGCGGTATGGACGCAGCGGCACGAGGCGGGCGTCGTCGTCCATCGGCTCGTCAAGCACGAGCGGGGGCAGCGCGGAGGGTGGACGCTTCGGCGCACACCGCGGGTAGCAGCGAGCAAAGAGCAGAACGCAGCCAAAGACGACGGTCATGACGGATTCGACGAGCACAATGACGTGCCACGACTTCTCCGAGTAGGTGCCTAGCGTATCGGTGTCATTGGCAGCTCGGATGCCAACGACGTTGGACGCACCGGGCAGAAGGCAGAGTTGAAAGCCACGCGAGAGGTGCGCGCCGTCGTACGGCACGATCTTGTAGTCGCAGCGCGTCGCCGCCACGTTCGTGCTGCCGAGCACGAGGCCCGTCCGGAGCTTACTCCTGCAGTCGCTGTCGACGTGGAGGGGTGCGACGGGACAGCCTTCGACGTTCCTACGCCTCTTGTCCAGGCGACGTAGTTGGAGTCAATTGCTACAGCATCTCGAAGGCGGCCGATGCCTGCGGACTCGTGCACGTGATATGCTGTAGCAGTGCATTCTTCGAAAAGTCCCTAGTTGACCGTAAAAACTTTGAGAAGCGCTTGGTCCTTTTGGACGAATCGGTATACATGGTTGTGGCCCAGTACGAAGTGCCAATCGTGACGCTGGAGAGGCGGTTGCCGCTCACGTTGCTACACGTATGCAAATTTGGAACTCGATGATGCCGCGTGACGACCACGTACAGTGTTGCGAGCTGTGCGGGAAGGCCATCGAGACTTGCGATCTTGTTGAGCGAGACATCCCTGCACCATTACGGTAAGGTAGGCTTCTAGCCCAGAGAAAGAAGATCTGTACAGGATCTGGAGGGTCAGAGGCCAGCGCTGCCGATTCGAGAAGCCTTCAAGGTTGTTCTCACGCAGGTGGCTACCGGTACACAGAGATGGCGACTGGAGAAAATGAGCGCCAAAGAGACGTACATATCTGTGAGATTTGTCGGCCATGGATAGGCGGCGGGGACCGATGTCCAGCCACAGGCGGCACAGTCGCTAGTCCGTCTTGAGCATTATTGAAAAAGTATACGTAGTCTTACAAGACGCCGAGACTCGGTGGAAGCGGCGTGTCCATCGGCAGCCAAGTGCGGGTCACACGCCTACACGTCATTTTTAGTCGACAGTGCTCGGGGCACAGACCTCGTACAGGCTTGAAAGCGACGGTGGCCATGCATACTCGGGTGCCCGTGTTTTGTTCTGACGAGGACTTGCGACGTTTGTGAGCGTCCTACGGGTGCCATCGTCGTTGGACATGCAGTAGCTACACCGACAGCGCTTTCAGGGACGTCGGAAGGTAGACCATGGCGCCGAGATTCGGGTTGTCGATGATTGCCCTACGCGGCTCGTATCGAACCGCCGACAAAGAAGATCGATGCAGTACAAGGCGCGGACGGTCGCCCGCTGGAGCTTGTCTTGGTCGCCCACATGCCCCAGCTGTCGAAGGTCATTGCCGCGGAACGTTCTACGCTACCATGAGACCACGGCCGCGCCTCAACATACAGGACATGCTGTCGATGGGGGGCAACGTGTGCACGAGCGCGATGGGCTCCGTGACGACCAGTAGCGACGTACTAATAGGCAAGTACCGGGTCCCGACAGTGCAGTTGCGATCCAAGATGCGGCAGGCGCGGTCGTCGCCGCAGTAGAGCGCGCCGCAGGTGAACGTAGCCGCAAAGCTGCGGAACGCGCACCCCATCGTATTTCGCACTGTGTTTTTGCGAATTTACCGTACAACCGCGCTGATCGCCATGTGTTTTTGGTCGTTATCAGGATCAGGCGCGTCACTTTGCCGTACAATTGGGTCTGGTCCGGCCGCAGAGACGACGGCCGCGCCGAGACAATGGCCTGCCGCTTCGCCGCGTACGAGTCGACCTTTACGTGCACCGCGTGCGCGACCAGCACCGACTGCTGCCTCCTCGACCGCCACTGCGTGCAGAGCGTGAGCTACGCCTTTGGCGCCGTCGCCGTCGTCACAGACCAAATCGAGCTCGTGCACTCGCTGCCACCCAACGTCGACACCATGTATGCGCGCCTTGCCGACGTTGTCGTCCTGCTCACTTTGCCTCTTGTAGCGTGTTTCGCGGCAACGGCTTGCGGCAATTTGGGCTTGCGACCGATGCCGCCGCCCTCACACGCGCCCGCACCACGCAGCTGTGTGTCAGCATGGCCATGAGGGTGTTCTCTCAGTTCGTCTTGTGTAGGTCCATCATCGACAACCCGAGTTTGCGCGAGAGCGTGCTTTTGCCGAGCGGCCTGCAAGTGCTGTACGTCCTACGTGTGGTCCGTTGCGATCGACTTGCGATATTTGCGTAGCAACATGAGCCAGACGGCGCTGGACCGTGCCGTGTTGACACTGCCACCGACGCTCTCGCGGTTGCTTCTCGACGACTGTGAGCTGCACTCGCTCCTCAACGTGACGTTTCCGGCTACCGCCAAGCTGACCTACTTGTACGCATGGATCGTCCGTCACGTTGGAGATGCATGGTGATGGCGACGTACAATAGCTCGGCCAAGCGCAACTTCCTCACACGCTTTGAGCGCGTGCCGATGGCCGAAACCATGTATGACATACCTGCAAAATTGTCGTCGACCTCTCAGCCATCGCTCTAGCGACCTCTCGAGCAACCGCATCAAACTGGTGCGGCTACATAGTTTTCAGAACGCCAGCACTCTGTAGCACCTTCTTCCATCGATGCGTTCGCTCAGCGTGCGTAGGATTTTGGACAACAACACGGACCTCGCAACCATCTTTGCTGCTGGGTCAGCGCCGCATCCCTTCTTGCGACTGTCCGCACATTTCCTCCAATATTGCAATGACGCGACGCTTCTGCTGTGTGTAGCCAATGCAATGGCTGCAATCTGACGACGGTAGCGGTCGACGATGGCGCCTTTCTGTCGCTTCGCGACGCGGCTCTGCCACCGACAGCACGCTGGCGTCCATGCCCGGCGTCCATGCGCGCAAGAAGCGTTGGCCACACGCATGTCTGCGTCGGCGCCTTGGACACCAACGCGTTTGTTCCTGCGTGCCCCTTTGTAGACATGGTCGCGGGCTCGGCGCTCACAACGGCGCACTGCACAACGCTTGACGCGCTCTACTGCGTCGTTGACCGCTTCTGCCACGAAGCCGAGCCCTTCCTACGCACCCGCGACATCCTCCTCGACTTTCATTACGTCGACGACCCGATTCCGACGACCAAGTTTCAGCGGCGCCAGCTCCAAGTCGTCACGCTCCCGAACATCGACACCCTGTACGCGCTGGGAATCCATGTGGTTGCTTTTTTGACGAGCGCTTTTGCTAGGACGATCCGAAATGCGCTCGACGTGCGCTTTCTCGGCGATGCGGACGCCCAATTGCGTTCCTTGTGCGCCTCGTTCGCGAGCTCGTCGTATGCGACTCACGGGATACTATACTCGTAGGCGGCTCGAAGGACTCGCGTCGTGGCATTTGGTGGACCCCAAGACGGCCGTGCTGCCGCAGACCTTGGAGATCTTGTGCGACGGAGCTGGCTGCGTCTTGCCGGCTGACATACCTCTGTAGTGTGTGTGTGGCTTGCGGCTGGAAGGTGCTGCCGACGTCGTATGCGTGGCCGGATGCGCTTCAGCACTTGTACGCACGCTTTGTCGAGATGCAATGATCGCGAGTAAAAGTCGGTGGCTAGGACGCTCCAGAACACCCAACTCCTCTCGTTCCCGAGCCAGATGCGCTGGCCGCCTCGCCTCGCCACCTTGTACCGAATATCGCTGGCGACATCGGCTCACGCTTTGTGTAGCGACGCGGCCAACAACCAAATCGAGCTCTTTACGGGCCTACCGACCGTCACGACGATGCTGTTGGATCACCACACCGCCGTGTCCTTCCTCTCAGCATCTCTGTGTAGCAACCTCAGCGGCAACGCATTGCATAACGCGTTGATGCGCAACTTTCACGGCGCCTCGATTCTGTACGCTGCGTCCCGCGCACCTCAACTCATAGTATGATTAGGGACTTGAGTCACAACGCGCCGCTGATTTCAGTCGTCTTCCTTTCGGGCAGCTCGAACCCGCCGCCGCTCCAAGCCTTGTACCCTACCCCTCGATCCAGAGCCACCGATGCCACCCGCTCTTTCTTCGTAGGCACCTCGAGGGCTGCGACAGCCTTGTCAACATCACCTTGGACGCTGCATCGTACGCCGCGGTCAAGGACACGGTGTACATCTATGCACCGTCGACGGCATGGCACACCGAGCCGTGTCTCAACTCCAAGCTTCTGACCATCAACTCGACGCGTCTCGGCGTCTGTGTCATCGAGAGTACCTCGTCCTTTCTCTGCGACGCAACGGACTGAGGCTGCGAACGACGTAGATGCCTTTGCGTACGGAGCCTTCTTTGGCATTGTGCTTGGCGCCTGCCTCCTCTTGGCGCTCGCAGGCGCGTGGATGCGCATGTCGCATCGACGCGCCGTGCCCGAACCTAATGACGCGTTCCAAGCATTGACCAACACCCATGACAACGACGACGACCCTGTGCGCGTCTGGAAGTCGACGTCGCTGGCCGATTTGGCCGCCACAATGACGTCGGGCCTGCTGCCGTACCGTCTCAACACGGACGTCGAGATCCTTGACAAGATCCTCGGCCGCGGGGCGTACGGCGAAGTCGTGCTTGGTCGCTATGGAGGCAAACTCGTCGCTGTCAAGCGGCTCCGCGCCGACAACTACACGGTCGCCCACATGGAGATGCTCATCCAAGAGATCGAGCTCATGGCCCGGTACGTACGACGCGGTCCTCGGATCGAACCCGCAAAACGCATGCCTTTTGTAGCTTTTCGAGCGAATACCTTGTCGCGTTTGTCGGTGCCAGCTGGTGCACATTTGCCGACATGAAGTGCGTCGTCGAGTTCATGGGTCAAGGGGATTTGCAGCAGTACCTCTCCAGCACCAAGGACGGCAACGAGAGATTATTTCCGTGGTCGGCGAAACTGCAGGTCATGCGTCGCATGCTTCGTGGCCTCGTCTACCTCCATGGCGCCAGCGTACGTTGCGCGCATCACGTTGCACGATTTTGCTAAAAACAATTGGCGTAAATAGGTGATCCACCGGGATTTGAAGTCCCGCAACGTGCTTCTCAACGACGCAGGCGAGGCCAAGCTTGGGGACTTTGGGATCGCTCGCGAGGTCTCGGAAGAAAGCATGACGAACGCGGTCGGCACGTACCGCTGGACGGCCCCCGAGGTACTCAAGGGCAAGCACTACGACGAGAGAGCGGACATTTATTCGTTTGGGATGGTAGACCCTACCCCTCTTGCAAATTTTGAGTTTCATTTTGATTGTTGAACGATTAGATTCTAACCGAGCTCGATACGCATGCGCTGCCGTACGCTGACATGGTCAACGACCGCGGCCAGGCGCTTGGCAACTTTACCATCATGTACAAGGTATCGTGTTGCGGCAATGCTTCCTTGTATCTGAACACACGTCCTGCGGCAGGTGATGCAGGGAACGATCCTCCCGACGCTCTCGCCCACATGCTCGCCATGGCTGCGAGACCTCGTCTACGAGTGCATCGCACACGAGGCCAGCATGCGCCCGTCGGCCGCGGACCTTGACGCGCGCCTCGCCCACGTCGATCCATCATCGCCCTTTTGACCAAGAAATCGTACACGTTGCCTCGAGTCATCGTATTTTCGCTAAGTCAAAGTGGACTGCGGGAGCTTCTCGAGCAGAGATAGCATGTCCCGCTGCTGCGCGATGATGGCGTCGTAGTTGGCTTGCAGCTCGCGGAGCTCTGAAGGGGATGCCTGCGCCGTCTCCTGTTTGATGGTCATGCCATGGCAGTGTGGGCAAAGGGGCCCGCGCAGTGTCTGCGCCATGCGCCGCACGTGGCTCTCGACGCAGCAAAGTGTATCGAGCATCGGATTCGACTCGGCCGAGAGCTCGCGCGCGTTTTTCACTTCGTGGAGGCGCTCGACGGCGTGCCAGAACCGGTGTTCGAGGTGGTCGACTCGCTTGGTTCCAACGCAACGCCTCTGCGCGAGCCGCCAGCGGAGCCATGCTTTCAGGACGCTTTGGGCGCGGTGCCGGAGCGCGTCTCGCGTCTCTGTGTCTTGCAGGTATGCTAATAAGACGCGGTCTTTGTCGTCCAAGCCGATGAGCTGCGAGACAGCGACCACGATGAGCGTCTCAAAGAGGAGGCCCTGCGTACAAGTTTATCATGACACATGGAGACGGCGGAGGAGACCGCACCGAGAAGACCAAGATACCCGCGACAATATGCCCCCGCGACGAGATCGGGTGGAAGCCGGGGCCCTAACGTAGTCATGCAAAGTGTCCGCGTGGATCGGGGAGCGTAGTACGTGGATGGTGAGGAGCGAGTAGGTGAACCATGCGGCGTTCCGGAGTGTAAACACGTCGGGCTGGTACGCTCGCTCGAGTTCGTAGATGCAGATGGTGAGCGCCGCCCAGATCGCAATTGTGGTGCACGTGACGACCAGAAGTGGTGTCTGGTGAAATGCGATTTGTACGACGAAAAACCAGTTGAAGTGGGGACTCTGGGACGTCAGAAAGCGATTCTAGATCTGGATGTGGCACCCGCCATCGATCAGAGGTCCGACGTAATAGTACCTGAACGATATCCACTCGCCGCTGGTAGACGGTCGCGTGGTCGCGAACCACGCGCGCGACCAGGTACAGCCGTAGAAACATCATGCAGCACGCAGTTTCGTGGATGTAATCATCGAGGAACGGAGGCTATAAGAACACACATTATTCTCCACCAAGTGCATCGGGATGACGGTAGCGCACGGGGTGAATGGCCACGATGACAACTTCGAGCGCAAAGCGGCAGGCGAGGTGGCGCGGCCATGGCGGAGGCAGCTGCGGGAAGATGGCCGACCCCGACGTGGCGTGCGCCTCCTTGACAAGCAGACCGTACATCGTGTGCAGCTGCTTGATCAAAAGCAGCGTCGACGCGGAGAGCACGAGCTTGAGGATCGTGCCTTGGGCCGACGCCGTGAGCTCAATGCGCTTTCTACATGGCGCGTAAGAGCACATTCAATCTCGTCGCTTCCTACGTGGCGCCGTCCTTCGCGGCAGCATCCCATGCGATTTGCATTTCCCAGAGGCCGAGACCGAGGCCCAGCATGGCGTTGGCAAAGATCTACGACAACGATTCCGACATCGTCCATTATAATGTAGACGATGGCAGGATGTAGTACGCGTCGGTTGAGCTGGCGGAAGGTGCCATCGAGCGTCCAGTCGCCAATGCGCGACTCGAGGTCGTGCGCCGTGTGCGGGTCGTCCTTCAAGTGCATAGGCGTCGTGGCCGTCTCTTTCTTGAGCACTGCGAGCTGCAGCTGCAGTACGAAGCGAGCGACGATTTTCTCCTTGCGGTTCACGCGGCCAAGCCCCAACGACATGCGCCGCATGGGCGCCGCCGCGCGCTCGGCCGACCGCGGGTCCAACGACCGCCGAAGGTCTTTCAGACGGCCTGCGACACGCACCTTGTGCCAAGACGACGTCAGGAAGGATGGTCGGTGGGGCACGGCCGCTGCGCCGCGGGCGAGAGGTGGCAGCTTTCGCGACTCGTAGGTGACCGCCGCCGAGTGCCGATGTGGCTTGGCCACGCCGCGACGGCTAGACGGGACGGGCCCAGCCGCCGCCGGGCGCGGTGGCACGTATGCCGATGCCCGCTTCGGGATCGGCGCCAGCGGCTTGGCCACGGCCGCGTCCGACGCCTTGGCCGAGACCACGACCATGCTCAGACTCGGTTTCAATCGTTTCACAGACGGGCCGTGGCCATCCGGACAGCGTAACCGGTTACTTGAACGGAGGCGATGAGTTGGCCAGACCTGGACCTGCCGCCGACCGGCCATCGCAACCTCCTCGGCGACGGTACGACTCTATCTCGCCGCCTCTTGTCTGATCTCATCTAGGGTACGATGCTAGCCGCCACTGCATTGCACTGCCATTGCCCCCATCGTCGCAAGTCTGCCTCTATCCCATCGCTGCCAGCGACGACGGGTTGACGCTGGGCCATGGCACGCTTCTGCACGACGCAAGCGCAAGCAGCGAGCCGTTTCGCTGCATGGCCTGGAGCACCAGCAAGGATGCGTACGTAGCGATTGCGACGCAGCGCCACGTCGAGGTATACGACGCCCAAGGAGCGCCCACACGCTGCCTCCACTGGGTGGCGCCGGCCCGGGTCCTCCACATCACGTGGCATCCGTCGCGGCCGCTGCTGGCGGTACGCAGGCATGCAAAGCACTGACGACAATCATGCCATGTGTACAGGTGCACATGCTTGGCTCCGTCCAGTTCCTCACGCCCTTGATGGCGCTCGATGGCGATGGAGTTGCCTTGCCCTGGGCGATCGCGGCCAAGCAATCGTCGTGCTGGAACGAGGCAGGCACGTCCCTCGCCATGTACATACGCGACTGCCACAACCTCTATTGCATGTACGATCTTGTGTGTGTAGAGCTGCCGGGACGAGCGCCCGCGTCTACTCCTGGCCAAGCAGCGCGACGATCGGCCCGTACGCGCGGCCGCAGGAAGATGTCTTGTGCGATATGGATGACGCCACGTGCGGCGCCATCACGGCCATTGGCTGTCTTGGCAGCGACACGTTTTTGCTCGCGACAGAGGTCAAGACCTGCTTGCGGTACGATGCGATTTCAACAGAACCAACGATATATCGAGCGTAGACCGACGACGACGACGACGCCAGCTGCAAGCTTCACCATTCGCGCCCGACCCATGGTAGACCCATTGACGTCAGTGGTCGACACTGGCGTTGTGGACCTCATGCACATCACAAAGTCAGACGCGCCCTCGTCGTTGCTCTTACTGCCGGTACGTACGGCTCCCCATGTGCATGGTTCTATCTTGTCTTGATTAGGAGCTCCACAGCGCCGACGGGCTTGCAGAGAAAGCCAACGCGCACTCCGTACGACGATGGACGTGTTGGAAGCGTAGCTCATGTCCTTGGTAGGCGATGGTCGCGCAGGCCCACTGTGTCGTTTGGAAGAACGCTTCCTCGTCCACCATGTCTTCCGTGCCCATCCCGGCGTTCGCGATACCCACGTTCATGCACTGCCACGTACGTTCGTCGCTGTCAACGCATGAGGTATTTACCGTGTAGACTGCTATTAGCGACGTCATGCCGTTCTCGGGTCGCACGCGTCGGCGGCCATCGTGCTTCTTCGCGTCGTGGGCGATGGTGCACTGGAGCTGGTCGAGACGATGCTACCGGCAGCGGACGACGACGGCCGCGTCCTTCGTGGGCTGCGCCTTGGCGACGATGCCATTGATGTCCTGGATACTCTCAAGCCCACGCGCCTCTTCTTTACGCCGACGCTCAAGACATGTTCGATTCGATCGCGTCGCTTGCCGCTGACCAGTTCGCTGCGTGTCCCACCTTCCGCGGCCGTCGCGGACGGAGCTGGTCTCGCCCTGCTACTTGAACGCCTGCAATCGCATCTCGACGCTCGCTTGGATCGCATCGAGGCTAGCATGGCTACACTCGGCGGTCGGCTCACGCAGATCGAAGCGCGTCTCGCCGCGTCGTAATCAGGTCTTCATGAATGCATTGGCTCGTCCGTGGGCATCTTCTCATGGAGCTCGCATGCATGTGCTATGGTCCAGCCCATGCCCTCGACTCGTCGTCTTGCATCGTCGAGGCCATGCGGGTTGGAGCGAGGAAGTGGCAATGGCGCTGCGCCCGCTCGCGACCGCTTCTCAAAATCTCGAAGGATGGATCCCACTGCGTCCAAAAATTGGATTCGATTTCGAAGGGCGCACGCGTCTTTTATTTTATGACGCCACCCACATACAAACACCAAGGTAGTTTCGCAGCTTCGAAATACGCCCGTCCACCGGTCCAGTGCCACGGATTTTTATCTCCATATTTGTATACCATACATATTGGCAGATATCGCATCCATTCAGCCGCGTATCTCTGCCCAAGTGTTCTTCCTGTATTTTAATGCTCGCCAACCCAAGAAGCTTGGTATTTGTATACCTTAGTAGCCGACGACAATAAAAGAGTAGTGGGTGGACATGTCTATTTACACGCAACAGATGGGGTCACGTAGGCCCGTTTGTGATCGGCAGGCGCGTCCATACAAAACAGTCGGGGTGAGAATGGCGTGCGTTTAGACCGCGGGATGTGACAGCGGCGCGATGGTGTCACTGGACGCGGGTGACAACCTCCACAAGGTGATATGACCCTGTTGACGGAACACGGCCACTCAAAGTTCAAGACCGGAAGTATCGAGTGTGAGAGGTTTGTGGCTTTGAAAGGCAAACAGCTGCAGGTCCGTTTTCACTTCCCAAATTGCAGACGCCCGCCCAGGAAGGAAAGCTCCATCATGAGCTCTGCGGCCAAGCGCAGCCGCCCCTCGGACGAGTGTCCCAAGTGCCAGTTCAACCTCCTCGACGGCGCCGGCAACTGCAAGGTCTGCGACTTTATCACGACCAAGCAGAAGCTGCGGCCATGCCTCATTGCGAGAAGGCCAACTGCCATGTCTTCTGCGATATGTGCGGCC